TATGTGCCCTTCCTTCCCACCCATCTGGATGTGCTGCTGGAGGAAGAAGGGGGTTTACTCTCCCCCAACTTCTCCTTTACTTGCCACCCCCAACAGGTGATCCAACCAGAAAAGTCCTCTGCAAGGATGGGTGACCTTTGGAATTGCAGAGTAAACAGATGCCAGCCTTGACCAACACGTCTCAGGGGAGCCTGTCCTCTACACACACTCAGTGTGTGGACTCCTGCCCTGAAGTACTATACTGCCACAGGCGCTGGGCAACAGGCTCAAGCAATCAACAACCCTGAAACCATGAGCCAAAATAAACCTTTCCTCCCTCAAAGTTAATTATCTTGGTTCTTTTGTTGCAACAAACACAGTTCTCTTCCTCCACGTGATACCCTTTCAACTTTGTCTTATTTTCTCTTATTTTCTAAGCTGTAAAGCTCTAACTTGATGGTGAGTTCAAGGGTGCTGCAACACACAGAAGCTGAGTAAGAAATCCAAGGATAGGACTGAAAACAACAAAAAAATCTAAACAACTCACGATCACACAGCCAAGATTCATTTACATCTGCATTAAATGTTTCTTTGTTAAGACCAGGTAAGGTTCACATGTACACAAGTCCATCAGAGAGCTTGTTAGGAACAAATTCACCACAGCAATGAGGGACAGATGGGGGGGGGGCAAGGGGAGGGGGAGGGGGAGAGACACACAGCGAGAAAAATGAATCTAAGAAGATAACAATACGTTACATGGTGACCAGACGAAAACAACAACTCTCTTGAGGAGGAAATAAAAGATCATTTTACCTTTTCGTGGTTTTCAATTAGAATTTCCACAACAATGTTCTGAAACTTCAGATCCATGATGGCAGCAACAGTTTCTTCCTGTGGCCTCATCAGAGTTGGTCCAAACACCACTCCTAAATTCGCCACAGTCATTAGATTCTGCTTGGAGTGATTGGAAACACTAATATTGATGAGGGAAAGAAAAAAGATCTGTTTAATTAAGGGGCCAGGATCACAGAATGCACAGAATTTTGCAGCTGCTCATAAACACAAGCAGTCAACCGGAACTCAACTTGTTCTTGGTGTCTGCCTCTGATGCACCCAGCCCTAACCACACCCTACATGCTGAGGCCCCAGCTGCTTTCCTACTTCTCTTTCTTGGATACTCTAGTCACAGTGGCCCTCTAAATAAATCCATGTATGTGCTCAGCTTGTTTGCACCACACTTTAGAACACCCTGTCTTAAGCTTTGCACAGTGGCAGTATCGTAGCCAATGAGGTTTATCCGAGGTGCGATTATTGCTAATAGAACACCCTGTCTTGCCCCAGGTCACTATAGTCTGGCTTCCCGGGACAAGTGGACTGCAAGGCGCCTGTGTAAGAATTAGCTTCACAAGCATGCAGATCTTGCTGAGAGCACCCTGCTCAATCCCACAGCCCAATGTTCATTATGCAGCAATCGATAGGGACACAGCCCTGAATTCAGGCCTCCACACAAAGACGGCATTCTCAAAAAGATCTACTTTGAGTGTCACATGCAAAACATATTCTTTCCCCTGACTGTACTTTGTGTTTTTTGCCATTTATCCTCTGAAATTATTTTGTATTGTCATTGTTATCTGTTTATCTTTACCCCCCACAGAAAGTAAGCTTCACAAAAGCAAGGACTTTATCTAGTTCAACTGTGGATCCACTGGCACCCTAAAAAAAGCATTACATAAATAATTTTGATCAAATAAATGAAGTTATATTTCTGGCGAGTCACAATATCCTCGGGCCTTCAGTCTCTTTTAACATAAGAGTTCTAAAACAGCGCTCCTCATCTTCTCACCACAAAATTTTACAGT